ATTAATTTGAGTCAATTCGACCGCACTCTACGGTGTCCCGTGAGAATTCTGAATTTGAATAGTATTATGAGACAGAAGGAACGAATGAACGAACGAATAAATTAAATAGAGAGAGAAAGAAAATGTTTCCATTTCTTCACACCACGTATAGTTAATAAATTTCGAAATAGACGAAATAAAAAATATAAAAAAAAAATCATGCAGAAAGATTTACGAAATATTATCAAATAACATTTGCAAAATTCCCACGTATATTTCGAACAATACTCCAATCGAAAAAGCAAAAGAGAAGGAGAGAGAGAGAGAGAGAGACAGAGAGAGAGAGAGAGAGGAAACGTGTGCATAAAGAAAGATATTATCTATGTTTTTTTTCGTAACACATATAAAATAAATAAAAATATTCATCTTTAGCAATCCATTTGAATATGAAACATTAATAAGTCAAAAAGAATTTATTAAATAATTGTTTTAACGTTTATAAATAAATGTCTCAAAAAATGCGTCAACGTGTTTTATTCTATTTAAAAAAAAAAAAAAAAAAAAAGTAGCATTTAAACGTCTACGATCGTGAATAAATTTGTAAAAAAAAATAAGAATAGAAAATTATGCCATTTACAGGCAATTTTTTTTTTTTTTTTTGAAAAAGTATAAAATAAATTTCTATAAATTATTTTCATTCTGATTGCATAAAAAAAAAAAAAATAAAAAATAAAATGAAAAACGTAAACGCACAAATGTATGTGTATGGGTTTTTAAATGCATGGTGAATTTCATTTTCCGTGTGTTTCTCACTCTCTCTCTTTTTTTTCTCTCTGTCTCTCTTTTCTATAAAAGTGCAAACAGAAAGTCTATTAACTGAAAGAAAGGTGAAGAAGAAAAAGCTAAAGAAAAAATACTGAAAGAAAGAGAGAGAGAGAGAGAGAGAGAGAGAGGAAAAGAAAGAAAAAAGATGAAAAAAGATGAAAAAATAAAAAGGAAAATAAAATGTATAGCATGACGTGTTCGTAACGTTTACAAACGTTCCTACCTTTAACGGTTACAGAAAAGAGATAAATATAAGATAAACAAATGACATTTCTTTGCAATATACATTAAAGAATATCTTTTACTTTAGAATACGAGTATCTTCCTCCTTTCATCACAATCTATACCTAAATAAGTATATACTTATCTACTTACATATATACACTCACATATACAGATATATAAATACATTAGTATAAATTTATTAGTATATATATATATATATATATAATTAGTTTTATATATTTTTTATATTTTTATTTCTATAATTTATTATTATCATTTAATAATAATAATAATAATAATAATAATAATAATAATAATATTTAATTGATAAAATTATAATTAATAATAATAACTATAATTTGTTATATATTTATTATTATTATTTATATTTTTATTTATATAATTAGTATAAATCAATGACACTTAGATTAATCTACGATTTATTCGAGTTCTAATTATAAAAAAAAAAATTGAAATAAATTTATTAATATAAAATTATAACGATTCAATTATGTTATTATTATTCGTCGTTTTATTTTTTTTCGTTCTTTAATTATTAACATTTATAAAATTTTATTACATTTTTTATCTGACTTCGATATGAATATATTTATCGAAGGAAAAAACAAAGTTTTATAATTAATTAGTTAAGAATATTTCAAGTTTTTACGTAAGAAAAAGTAATTTCGTTTTCTATTTCTTTTTCTCATTGGCGAAAAGACTTCAATGAAAGCTCGGTTCGGTATCGAGCTTTCTTTCTTTCCTAAAAAGATTTCAATGTCTCGTTTCCTACTTTTTAATATGTTATATTAAATATATTTTTCTCCTATCTTTCTTTTTTCTTTGTTTTTTTTTCTCTTTAACGTAAAAATTTTATTTCTCTCATTTTGTAATTTCTTATACGACTTCTATTACTGTTTTTTTTTTAAATTTAATTCAAATAAATGTTACTATCAAATTTTTATTTTATCATCTCGATACATGGTTGAGTAAATTTAACGTATCAGTAACTAATACAAACAACTGTAATATTTGAAATTGTAAGTAAACGTCAAAATTTCATTTTGAAACGTCAAACGATAGAAAATTAATTAACCTAAATTTTAGAAATTCTGTGAAATGTCCTCCATCTTGTTGTTCATAAATTAGAACTGAAGAGAATACGTTTATTCTATAATTATCTAATAATTTTAATTATTAAACAAATTGTTGTATAAACGAACGAAATCGATCGATCGAATAAAGCGAGCTTTCAACTTTTTTACGAGCATAAATTTAAAAGATAGATAGAGAGAAAAACGAAGTATAAATTTGTAATCCCTTCCACTTGTTCAGCAAGATACGAAGAATTTTTATTTTTATCTTTTTTCATCTTTATTTGCTTTTTTTTTCCAGACAAGAAATTCAATATATTTTTCATATCCCATTTCTCTTAAGATTTACTTTCTTAACCTTACTTAAATTTTTTGAATAAAACGAAAAAGATGTAGAAGATGAAAAAGAAGAAGAAAGAAAAAAAAAGAAAAAAAAACCCGTCAAACGGAGTATATAAACGATCAAACGATCATCCCCCTTTCGTTCTTCCATCGAAATAAATAGATTTCCCAAAATATACGAAATACGACTCAAATTAGTTTATTCGATTGACTTCGTCGATTTCGTTTTAGTATCACGAGTCCTGTTACGTAATTTCGATCACCCCGACTGTTCACCTCCATCACCACCACCAACACCACCACCACCAACAGCACCTCCACCACCACTACGACTATCACCCACCACCACCACCACTACTATCAGAGTTTGATCACAACGATTCTCAACTCTTACTTTAAAACTCTACAATCTTCTATAAAAAAACAAAAAAAATTCAAATACAATTGTATGCACACATAAACGCTCACAAAATCCTTCATAAACTGTAACCACAATTTTCTCAATACAAAATTTCTTTAAAAATATTACCATGCATATTATAATAAATATTTTATAATAAAAATAAATAATATTTATAATACCTCGATAACTTTTGGTCTATTTATTCTCCCACCCCCATTCTCGTTTGAAAAATTGTCTTCTCTTTATTTGGAAACAAAAAAATAAGGAAATAAAACTAAAACCCAGGATTATGGTAAAAAACTGAAGGAGAGAATTCGAAAAGGGAGGCACTGACCGCGACAGATAACCCATTCTGCTCAAGTCCAGGAAAGAAAGAATGAGATATCGATACATAGTGTTACCTACGATACCAACTTAGTGTGTACATGTATGTGTATATGTGTATATACGTGTACGAGTATATGTATAGCTAGTGTATATATGTTTGCGAGAAGAAAGAACAAGGCGTTGCTAGTCGTGGGATGGTGGAGTGGTGATACAGGTAAAACCTATATTGACCTGGCGCCACCAGGTGTCGCCACAATCATCCCCTCTTCATATCCTTGTACCCCTCTCTCTCTCTCTCTCTCGGTAACCCCTACCATCCCCTCTTCGTATCCTTGTTTTTCTCTTACTGTCTAACCCCTTATCATCGTCACTTCGTATCCTTGTGTTTCTCTTTCTCTAACCCCTTATCATCCCCTCTTCATATCCTTGTATCTCTTTCTCTCTCTTCACCCCACTGATACCCCTCGTTAAACCCCCTCATTTCCGTTCTTCCCCTATAGTGAAACACGAACGAACGAATGAACGAGAACGATTGCATAGGTATAAGAGAAGAATAATTCTCATGTCGATCGCAACAACGTGGGTGGTGGGAGTGGTGGTAATGGTGGTAGTGGTGGAAGGTTGGAAATACTCGGATGGTTGTATATGTGTGTGTGTGCGTTAGGGGCTGAGACACGGTTATAGTAGCGCCAATCCCAGAATCCTCGATTCTGTTCAGCGACTGCGCCTTGGTTGCAAACTCTTCCGCTCAGGCTCGTACATTTGCCCCCATCTTAGGCTAACGGGGGGGAAACGGAAAGAGGGTAACCGCATCGCTCGGTGGCGGGGAGAACCTCGAGGACAGACGTTGAAAAGCCACCCCGACGGAGAGACACGCCGAGACGCCCCTGTCATCGGGAGCCCTTCGGTATTAGTAAGTTTCTTTTTCCATTTTTCTTTTTTTTATCATTTTTCAAATATTCCTCCCACATCCCCTGCTCACTAATTTATTATCGTTAAGTTGAATTTATTTCTTTTTCTTTTTTTTACAATTGTCGTTTCGTATTTCGCGTAGTTTGATTATTTTACGAATAATTTTTTACATTATGAAAAAGGATACATATACAAGTACAAATCTACCCTCTGATATATTATTTTCTTTTTATAATTCTATGGTAAGGTTGGTTTTGTTTTTCTTGGGATTGATACGATATTCTGAATATTTCATAAAGTTTCTTTTTCTTTTCTTTTTCTTTTAGATAAATTTATATAAAATATAAAAATTACAATACGCGTATTATAAAAGGGTGCGGCAATAATATTATTCCATTTAGAATCTGTAATTTGTAATAATAATACGAAAAATAACCTTTGGTACAAAACTTGCACAGCATAGGAGTGGTGGCCATATTGCGATACCTATTTCTTTTACGTAGGTGCAGACGTAGAAAAGATTTCAAGGTCATTTTCATTTTTTTTTTTTTTATTAAATTGGATAATCCATTTTTTACTGCTTTGCGATAACCAACCTTAAGATGGTTATATATATATATGAAGTGTGAATTGTGTGAGATATAAAATTAATTAATTAAAAATAATAAATTAAAATAAATAAAAAGTAATCTTTTACTTCAAAAAATAAAAAAAAAATAAATAAACCCTAAATATATATATTTATTTTAAAAAAGCATTTGTCTTGTTATTTTTTTAAAGGCTCGGTTGTCGATTCGACTGAAAAGGTGGAGGGCCCGGGGACGCGAGGAGCCAAGGAGTCCTCCGTGAATGACTCGACGGAGGAAAACCGACCGGACGTCGCCGCGACTTTGAGCGGTCTGTTCGCCGGACTTCCAGCCTTGGCGGGTCCCCAACGACTCGCCAATTCCCTCAGGCAGAGGTTTGCTACCCATTCTGGTAAGTAGACTAACTATTCATTTTCTCATCTCTTCATCCCTTCCTTCCTTCCTTCCTTATTTCCTAACACACTGCAAAAGGGGTTTCAAGATCAACCCCTTTCTCGTTACAATTATCCTTCGTAATTAATAAAACGAGGGTCACCGCGAACAATAATTTCTGGGACTATTAACCTGATCTACTTTACCGATCGATATTTTATACACATACACAATAAATGTTACGTATTAAAAAGAACAATACGTTATTAAGAAATATTTGTTAAACCTGCTTTTTAACCACTTTGCATTCATTGACTTTAACCTAGGAACTTACGTTTGCTTTTTCAAGAATTAAATAATGATTAAAAAAAAACTAATATAAAGTATAGCAAATTATAAATGGTAAATGAACTTTTATTCGTTATCGGTCTGATTAATAACGTGAAAAAATTTTAGAGATAAAATTAGGGCCGGTTAATCAATCGAGCACGATTAGCTCGGGCTCTTTAACATTTACCGTTACTTCTGTCGGAGGGTGAAAGGGCGAATGTACAAATATATATGTATATAGATGCATGTGGTGGTATCGTCGGTGACGCAAATTACCTCGCCGGCTGAAGTGACCTCGGGGGAAGGTGATCCAGGGTAGTTTTTGCATAGGGATCTTCTAGAAAGGAAGGGGCAGATTTCTCTGTTGAACCACGCGTTCTTTAGTAACGCAATCACCAATGTGTCCTTTGGCCACAGAACCTTACTCTCTGATAATTATTTACTTTAAACATGGTTCTGGACATCTATTTTATTATGGGTGTGCTAAGTAATCGAATTTTAATAATTCCCGTTTCCCTACCAATTCTGTTTTAAACAACAAACACGATTTAGTGGTTCTTATGATTGATTCTCGTTTAATATTCACATTTTTTTTTACAACAACTATCGATTCGGGAGAAAAGGAACTCTTTTGGGGCTCGTATTTAGCCAGGGTTTCGTCTTCTATGATAGAAAATAGGACAAGTTAAGGTAAAAGGGTTCTTTATGGATCAGTCTGGGAATAAAAAGTGGTGGGGGTTTCAGGTAACGAGCACGCCTTTAATTGTTGTACCAATTGGCGTAATATCTTTCAGCGTAATTTTATTCCTCTACGATGACTTATCTTAGATCGTTTATGTTAATTATGCGATCAATAAAAAATCGGACAAGAATGGTTTGTTTTACAATCTTTATAATGGGTTAATTAACTGATTCTATGGATGAGGAGATGGATGCTAATTCAATACGATTATTAATTGAAAAAAATTAGGTGGAAGTAAAGATTAAAATAATATGTTAAGAATGAAATTATTGTACCGGCGTTCAAATTCTTAATTTTTTTAAATAAATTATTGTACTTACAAAATTGTGAAATTGTTCGATATTCGAATAAAAACTTTAATTACTCGGTCACTCTGTTCTGAACAGGATAGGGTAACAGTGTTGAGGTATTTTAAGCTTTTAAATATCTTCTTGATATTGATTGCTAAGAATATCGTCTATCACAAGATGATAAGAATGATCAGAATCGTTTGAGATTATTCCGGAGGAATAATGATGAACAGTTAACTAACTGTGTGTGTTTCGTTTATATAGTCCCATTGTATCCCTGGAAAGGGATGATATAGGTCTCATAACTCGACATTATGTTAGTCATCCTTAACTGCCCTTACTCACAATTATATTGCAAAGCGTGACGTGTGCAACATTTCCATCACTTCCACTTATGGTCCTTATCTTACAGTATCTTTATCACCCAAGTATTTCAATATTCCTCTGTTTTCCTGTATCTAACGTCTTTTTAGATTTAACATATACATATTGCCAATTGATTAAGTTATTTGATTATTAATATTATATTTGTTACTCAGGTCCTTTCCTTTGTTCTTCCCATTAGTCACCTTAAATGTCCACTTCGGGCTAACATTACACACCTGATAAATATATTCCGTCGATGTTACATAACCCAGGGCCGAATTTGTTAGACGTAAGATGACAAATGTTAAAGTTAGTTGGTATTTCACTCGGCGACACCTGCAATGCCAATGTTTTCTTGTAAGAATTTCAATGCTTTCCGATGTTTTCTTTGTTGAATAGAAGAACGTTGTCGATTACCTGACACACACTTATAGCTTTCTTCCAATTAAACGTAATCAACGGTGATTTCAACGTTCTCCTGTTCTCTTGGGATATTTTTTTTAACTGTGACAGACAACTCGATCAGTTTAACCTTACTTCATACTTTCCAATTTACGTTGCTCGAAATCGTTGTAAGGAAAGAGGAGTGGGGGTAGGGGCGTGTTACGTCACGTCGATGATTCGTTGAAAACGATCCAATGGGAATTCACGAATTATTATTCCGTTTGCAAATTTGTTTCATTGAATTTTTATTTATATTGAAAATCCATCGGTTTTTTTATTTCAACTACTGAAAATAAATTCTCACTCCTCTTTCGTTTTTATCACTAAATTTTGTTTTTAATTACCTTTTGCCCAAACTACTTTAATGTTAACTTATCTCGATCTTTCATATTAAACTACTGAAAATTGTTTCCTCCGTCATTTATATAAACTACTGAAATAGTCTTGCTCATGGTTTATTCATACTACTGCGAAAAATTATTCTATACTTAATAAAAACCTGATATTTTAGATATTTTAGATATTTTTCATTATAATACGTATTTATATATAATAATTTAATAATAATAATTTATTAATAATAATCGCTTGCATTTTGATTAACGATCAAATTGTTCATTACAATTGGACACATTCTCACACTTGTGTATTATATTTCTTTCAATAAGATCTACGTCCTCTTGTCAAATTGATTTTTTTTCCTTCTTAAAGAAACAAAGAGAGTGAATGAGAATGAGTGAGTGAGTGTGTGAGAGAGAGAGAGAGAGAGGGGGTAGTATTGGTCGAGAGTAATTAACAGTGGGGTGTAGTAGACCCTTCTAACAAAGCCACACGATGTCGACCCCGTTTTCAGTTCAGGTTCACTCCTGTGTTTTTATCTCCGGTAACACGATACCTGATACCTAGACAATGTGAGAGAGAGAGAGAGAGTTGAGGGGGAGCCCCCACCCGGGGTTGAGGTGTCGTGTTAACTCTTACTACGAACCATTGGTAAATGTGCGTGCGTAAATCAACCCAAAAACTTTGCTTCGAGGGTTCTTTCGTGTCTTCTTTATTACGATGACGAGGATTCTCGCATATGGTCGGGTCGGGTAAGACGATAAAAAAATAAAAAGAGGAAAAGTTTAAATGCGCGCTGACCAGGCCGGGTCAGGGCTCCCCTTAAATTTCTTTTTTTTTTTTAAACAATTTCAACTCGTAATTATCGTAATAATCGAGTATCGATGTGCTAAATCCTAATTACTATTTCAATAGAAACTCTCAATAAATATATATGTATATGTAAAAAAAAAGATATAAAAAAGAAAGAAAGTATACAATGTAGAAAGTTCAAACAAAATTGATGGAAAATGTATATGTATATGTGTTAGTATTGGAAAAGAAAAATATATTAGAATATAATTGAATTGAAAAGTGTATGCATTTTTAAATATGTGTATGTTAGACGTATCTTATGTGCACGTATATGCACATATATTTAAATATATANNATATATATATATATATATATATATATATATATATATATATATATGTGTGTGTATATCAGAATTTCGCGGTATTTAATCGTATCAACTCGGTGATTTGTTGTAGGTTACCCCCGGCCCGGCCTGATGCGCATCGACCCAATCGCGACGATCTCCTCGTCACGCTCGCTTGATTGTAAGAAAACAAGCAAACAAGCAAACAAGGTCTTCTTCTTCTTCTTCTCCTTCTTCTTCTTCTTCTTCTAACATGCTGATAGGGATTATTAGTTCCTCTCGTTAGTTACAAGAAATAATTTCGAGCGCATATGCACTACAACAACCACCATAATCACCAACAATTGTCACCACCACAACCACCACCACCACTACCGCCACCACCACCACCACCACCACCACCAACACCACCATCATCATCGTCGTCATCATCATCATCATTATCGGCATAACTACAACAGTAGAGGATTAGAGTTTTTGAATAATTTGAATTTGAAAAAAAAGAAATAAAAAAAAGAAGAACACAATGACGACGATACCGATAATCAACATGGAAGTTGGGGCCTTGAAAGAGATAGTATGGACGAAGTTACAAGAACCGAAAGCTCAACGTAAGCTTGTATTGGTGATCGTATCGGTGGCATTGTTGTTGGATAACATGTTGTATATGGTGATAGTACCGATAATACCGCATTATTTGAAATACGTTGGTGGGTTTGAAGATAATGGTGAGGAGGGTAACGAAACAAGTAGTCCTGCAGTCCATCACGGACAGGACTCGGCAACGGGAGTGTTGTTCGCGTCTAAAGCTATTGTCCAATTAATGGTGAATCCGTTTTCTGGTGCATTGATTGATAAAATCGGTTACGACATACCAATGATGATAGGATTGTGCATAATGTTTTTGTCAACTGCTGTATTCGCATGCGGCAGGAGCTACGGTGTATTATTTTTTGCAAGAAGCTTACAAGGAGTTGGTTCGGCGTTCGCTGATACGTCTGGACTTGCTATGATTGCTGATAGGTTTACAGAAGAATCCGAACGTTCGAAGGCACTTGGAATAGCCTTGGCATTTATTAGTTTTGGATGTTTGGTAGCACCCCCGTTCGGTGGTGCATTGTATCAATTTGCCGGTAAGGAAATGCCATTTTTGATATTGGCTTTCGTCAGTTTGGCCGATGGTTTTATGTTGTTATTGGTAATGAAACCGTTTAAGGAACAAATGAAGGATAGAAATCGAGAACGTGAACCTACGATACCGATTTGGCGATTATTGATGGATCCTTATATCGCAGTTTGTGCTGGTGCTTTGATGATGTCTAACGTAGCATTAGCCTTCTTGGAACCAACTATCTCACTTTGGATGGAAGATCACAATATAACCCACGATTATTGGAAAATGGGTATGATATGGTTACCAGCATTTTTTCCTCACGTTATCGGTGTCATAATAACCGTCAAAATGGCCAAACAGTATCCCCAACATACTTGGTTAATGGCAGCCGGTGGTCTAGCTCTCGAGGGTCTCTGTTGTTTCATCATACCATTCTCGACCTCGTACAAGGTCCTAATGATACCTATTTGTGGAATATGTTTTGGCATTGCTCTAATCGATACTGCATTATTACCGACCCTAGGATATCTTGTGGATGTTAGATATGTGTCGGTTTACGGTAGCATTTATGCTATTGCTGATATTTCTTACAGCGTCGCGTATGCGGTTGGTCCGATAATAGCTGGTGGTGTTGTTGAGGCTATCGGTTTTACTGCGCTCAACATTGGAATAGCATTTTCCAATCTTCTTTACGCACCTGTACTCTATTATCTGAGACATATCTACGATTTCAAACCGTTACAAGACGAGGCTAACGTTCTTATGCAAGATCCACCTGACAAGGAATACCAAACTTACGTACTTCAAGATCAAAGACCTATACCAAATGAATTTGGTAATCATTTGAATCAAACTCGCATGGAAACTAACATCGATCAAACATATGATCCGAATTATCAGACTATGCAAAATACCGGATACGATCAGAGTATTGTATATGGTCAGAACGTAACTGGTTATAATCAAACCAGTGGTTATGAACAACAACCACCACCAACGTATGGACAACAACCACAACAACAGCCGCAAGGACCCTTAAATTATGCTCAACCAGTTGGTTATGTCCAACCACAACCAATGCAACAGCCCCAACCACCGTTACAACAACAACAACCTTACATACAACAGGATGTACAAGAACAACGAGGATCTCAAACGGATGTTAATCCATTTAGAAGAGCTCCACCTGATCTTGTTGAACAACAAAGACCATCAAGTGACAGCAATCCTTTTAGGCAAGGATTGTTTTAGTCATCCATAAATTAACAAAATTAAAAACAACGTGATGGAAAATTTCAACAAATACTGAATATCAAATATTATATATTCCTGTATTATATCGATAATCCTAATCGACATCGAGTTTTCGAGATTAGTCTTCGAAAGATAGGCTTCCAGTTATAAACAAAGAAAATAAAGAAGATGAAGATGAAGATAAAGATGAAGAAGAAGAAGAAGAAAAAAAATGATGGGACAACTCTTCATTTTGCAATCGATTCAACCCCATTGGTATACAGAAAGTATAATTCTCTTCTTTTCTTTCTTTTTCTTTTTAACTTTCAAAATGCTTCATATAATTTTATTCCTTGATAAAAGAAGAAAATGCTATAACATACAAGTTTACACATATACATATACACACACATACACACACATACACACACAAAACGAATCTCTCAAACAGTAATCGCACAATTTAAAGTATATTACAACATTTTAATGTTTCAACAACAGTTTGACAACATTACGATAAGAATTGTAATCAAGAAACTGAAGAAAATCATTTCTGAAGAAAATGATGAGATAAAAATACACACATGCATACACACACATACATAACGAATCTCTCAAACAGTAATATGAAAATTATATTCCAACGAATTAAGTGTTTTTTCTAAATAAAACGAAAAATCTAATCAAACCATTGCAAAAAAAAACTAAAAAGAAAAATAATCCTATTATAACAATTCTACATATTTAATCAATTATCTAATATAAATATTTGAATTTAAAATAAAATAGTATTTAAAATGATACTTCAAAACCTGTGCAACAAAATATCTCCTCCCCTCTTTTCACCCTAGTCCTGAATGGTCAGTCAAAAGAAGAAAATCCCCTTCAAAAAAAAGAAAAAAGAAATAAAACAAAAAAAACATAAAGGAAATTAACAAAAACAAAAAGTAATGTAAATTATGAGATACGTGTACCAGGTTAAAAAAAGAAGAAGAAACCAAAGAAAAAAGAGAGAAAGATAAGGATGAAAAGGATTCGTACCATTAAAAAAAATCAACAAAATTACGTAAAAAATACAAGAAACGAGATTAACGTTCCTGTGAATGTTATTTAAACTAATAACAAAAAAATTACTACAACACAACAACAACAATGCCACCACCATTATACCACCATAATCATTATCATCATTATCATAATTATCATTAGTACCATATACGATCACCAAGGAACCAAATTATGAATTATAAAGAAGGATTAACAAAGATATTGATAATAATAATTAAAAAAAAAAAAAAAAAAAATAAAGGAAGGAAAAAAAAATACATATGAAAAGAGACAAAAAAAAGAAAAGAGACAAAAATTGTTCGAAGAAAAA